TCGGTGTCTCTTATAGGGGTGAAAATAAAGAGTTTATTGATTGTGATTCTGAGGTTATTGTCTCCACCATCACTAATTGCACTCTGTGTGGTCAAATATTTGTGCATGTTGGAGCAATTTCCCCTCTTTGTTGCGGTCAGGTCAGCAGTGGTCAGCGCCGACACACACACACACACGAGAAGTACATAGACACACAGTTACACACACACACCACACGACAACACACACACACACATATGAGAGAGAGAGAGTATGCATAGTATGCACAGCTACAACAGCATCATGATTCGTCATACAATGAAACAGGACAAATCAACAACTGACAATGATAATTAATATTAGAAATCTGTAACATATGTATGTTTGGAGTTTAGTCTGTTACTGTTACTATTTTTACCATTTCTTCTTGGAGCAACTGTAACCCACATTATTTCCTTAGGGATTAATAAAGTATTCTGATTCGATTAGTTTCAGGATGACCTGCCTATTCCAATCGACACATCTGCTTACCTGATCTGTTGCTCTTTCTCCTCCTCTTCTTTTCTCTTTTTTCTAAACTGAGCACCTGATGGCTTTGAACTTTTCTTGTCATTCATTTGGTTTTAATTTTGCACTCCAGTATGAACACAAATCCCCCAACACGATGATCAGCACAACATAACCTAACAGACCGACACCTTAGTTCACAGATTCACTTTGTCTAAGGTGTGTTTCTGGGATTTCACACAACCCAGGATTCAAATCATGAATCCATGATGGGTTTGGATTTACAACATTATGAAATGTGCTCTATTTGGAAGCAGCAGGTCTTCCTCCCCTTTCGACGGGTTGTGTGAGCACAAAGCAAAGAAGAAACACTTTATTTGTACAGCGAGGGACAATAAAGGATATTTCAGTTTCTATTGTGTTCTACTGCAGAAACACGAGCAGGTAGCTGAGCCTGGCTGTTTGCTACCTTCAGCTCAGGCTGTGGCTGCTGTGCTGGGTTCTTCGTTAGCTTAGCATTAGCACGGTGTGTGATGCAGTCTCCACTTTAAACTAGAAAAGTCAAAGGAACGTCCGTTTACACGCTGCAGACCTGTTTTCCTCCTCTGACACGTGAACTGCAATCAGCTGATTGTAGTGCAACAAGAACTGATAAGCGGGATCAATACACACACAGACTAACAATTCCAAACAGGGACTTGACTGTGGGACTGGTTCCCAGTGCTGTTTGTGGTCGTCTTTTTTTTCTTGTGTTTTTCCTGTTTCTTCTCAACATCAGCTGTTTGATGCTTTGTTCCTGATAGAGTTGTCAATGTTTTTCAGCTTAACTTCACCTGCGTGTGTGTGTGCCTTTTCCAGGTGTGTTGCTGCAGCAACGGCTGACAGATGATGCTCTTGTGAGAGTGGGTGGGGCTACGTGGCCCTGAGGCCTTAAGGAGGAGTCTCAGCCCTAAGCTCCTCCCCTCTCTCGTCCCGAGACAGACCAAACGGACGGACACACAGACGGCCGTAACTCTCTCCCCCTCCTCCTTCCCCCCTCTCTCCCCTGTTCTCCCCTCCAACTCGGCCCCTCCTCCTCCTCCCGGCCACCCTCCCCTGTCTCCCCCCTCGTCCCCTGCCACCATGCTGTGGTCACGCTGCTGGTGGAGAGCCTGAGGAAGCAGACTCTGGAAGGCGACCCTGCTCAGCCAGGGGACTTGTACCTGGTGAGTGGCACACCTGTAGCCTCACCTGTGAGGTCACTGTCACACCTGCAGAGCAGAGACAGGAAGTGTACTTTTGTTAGCGACAGTCTGAACGCCGTCACGGCCCGTGTGTTCACTGACAGTCAGGATAGTTTGATACAAAGTCAGGGTGTAAAGTCTCACCACTGGATGTCAGTGGATTGCAGATGATTCCTCCTAATTCACGTGGACAATCCTGCTACGGTGGCCACTGTAGGACACAGCCAGCTGCTTCTGCTGCTGTTTGTGGAAAGTCCACACTTGTCTGCACACTGTGTTTAAACATATTTGAGTAATATCAACACTTAGCAATAAAGCAGGAGTAAGAAACTCTCGTGTGTCATCAATCTTAGTCCAAAGTCACCTCCAAACCTCCGATGATGTTCATCTGTACTGAGAGCTGCTGTTAGTGAAACTCTGACACTTAGTGAATAAACTCTCATATGATGTGTGACTGTGTGTCACAGACAATTTTAGGCCACTAAACATGGCGTAACGTTAGATTTAGAGCAGCTGTTGGTTTTGTTTAGCTGTCAGCTGTTTGATGGTGCGGACATGTCTGTTAAATGTCCCACTGCAAGCGAACACCTAAAGCTCTCTGCATGTGTGTCTGTAGCCACACATGTAAAGGTGCTGCACAGAGTCTCTGAAGTCCTTCAACATCTGTCGGACAATGCTCAGGCGCTAGAAACGATATAAATTTGGCCAACGATAGAGATTTTGACTATATCGCTCTATCGCGATAGCACATGGTGATGATGTCATCAAGCTGCGCCTGTTTTGGTCAAAAGCATCGCAGCGGCTACAACCATTATCATCTGCAAATTATGGCGACAGTCACAGCAAAGAGATGAAGCACTTTTGAAATATGGGGAAAGCCAAAAACTGCGCTTCCTCCACTTCCGTAACATTGATTCATTAATGTTGAATTCTCTCGCAGCTGCTCTGTTCCCATGTTGTTGCAGTATATTAATGACTAACCTCGTATTGTGGATGAATAATCTCAGTTGTTCTCCTGACTGAAGTTTGGCCCGTGTACAGCATCCTGCTATGTGATTGCATTTGTCCCTGACCACCAGAATCCCTCACGTTAACTTTTATCGAGTGGAAAAAAAGTTGGCGTTCATCCTCCAGCTTCACTGTGCTAATGTTATGCTAACATAGCTGTGTCGCTAGCAATCACGTAGCACAACATTATATACCAGGTAGTCCAACTTCAGTAACCCTGCAAACGTCACTGCTGTTTAGTTTTCTGTCTTCATTTATGTTGGAAGTGAAGCAGAGCTGTACGTTTGAATTAGTTTCAAAAATCTCTCAGTCAGAACATGGTATGAAATGTTTAGGTGGAAACTAGCGAGCTAACTTCCTGCTAACTTCTAACTCCGTTAAATTTAATAAATTCTGTTTTCATGGATGCCTGGATGTTAAACTTAATTGTTACACCTGGTAAAGCAGCAACGCTGATGATTTTATTAAAGATGAAAGAATTTAGACCGTTTTTAACTCTCAGTGTTCGTTTGACTTTGGGACCTGAAGCTGACGGAGTTTTGGACCCAGATTACTCCGCGAAGCTCCTCACTACGGCAGCCGTAATGCTCTGACAATCCATCAAAACATTTTTAACAGATTTCTGCAGCCAAAATCGGTTCAAGAGTCAGTAAGCACAACCAGAATTCATACATAAGGCACACTCTCGATTTTTGAGAAAATTAAAGGATTTTAAGTGTGGAAAATACGTTATACAGAAGAAAAGAATATATCGTGATATATATCGTTACCGCACGTGCTTCAAATTATATCGCGATATGAATTTTAGGCCATATCGCCCAGCCCTACTCAGGATGTTCTGTCCTCTGTGCTGTTGCATGCTGGGACATCAGGTTGAGGGTCACAGATGCTAACAGACTCAATAAACTGATCACGAGGCCAGTAATGTTGTGGTGATGGAGCTGGACTCCGTTAGGGTGGTGTCGGAGAAGGATGTTGTCCAAGATAAAGAAAATACTGCACAATACCTCCCACCCACTCCATGACGTGCTGGCCAATCACAGGAGCGCGCTCAGGGAGAGACTGAGATTACCCACAATGCACCACTGAACAACACAGGACATCATTCCTGTGGACATCTCTGTACCATCCATCTAACACACAGTGAGGTCGTCTATGGTAAAATAAGGTTTTACAGGTTACATTGGAGCTGTTTCTTATATTTGTAACATGTTATTGTATTAGTCTGTTGCTGTTGTCATGGAGAGACTGACCACATCATGTCCTCAGGGAGTAATGAAGTACAACAACACAATTAGGCTGAACGGCCCAAAGCAGAGCAACATGGCGGCTTCCAAAAACCAGCAGCCGCTCACGTGTGATTTTCATTCATTCTGATTTTATTATTTCAGTTCTTCAGCTGACACAGCTCACAGGAACCTTCCTCCCTGCAGCTGTGACTCTAAATCAAACCTTAAACCTGAAGATAATCTGACCTGAGTCGTGTGTGGAAACAGCTTCAGTTGCAGCTGAGCTGAAGTTCTGAGCAGCTCTGCAGGTGGACACCAGGTGGTGCTGCAGGTCGCCTCATCTCCACTGAATGCGCTGCAGCCACAAAGGACTGTTGCTGCCTTCAGCTTAAATCCAGGATCAAAACTGGAAAGCAGGAATATTTTTATGTTCTCAGAGCTGAAACTCTGATTCTGGTCTTTCAGTCCCTGCTGGACCCGAAAACCCTCGCAGAGTGCTGGCCCCCAGATGGCTTGATGCCTGGTGAGTTTCCTGTTTCCCTGAGTGAACCCTGAACATCATGAACGTGTGTGTAAGAGGAAGGAGTGTGTTTACCTCAGGCACTGTTCCTGCAGCGTGTAATTATTCACCTGTGTGTGTGTGTCTGTGCTGTGTGTGTCTGTGTGTGTGTGTGTGTGTGTGTGTGTGTGTGTGTGTGTGTGTGTCTGTGCGTGTGTGTGTGTGTGTGTGTGTCGTGTGTTTGTGTGTCTGTGTGTGTGTGTGTGTGTGTGTCTGTGTGTGTGTGTGTGTGTGTGTGTCTGTGTGTGTGTGTCGTGTGTCTGTGCGTGTGTGTGTTTGTGTGTGTGTGTGTGTGTGTCGTGTGTGTGTGTGTGGCACACACACACACACACACACACACAGAGACACACGCACACACACACACACGCACAGACACACACACACACAGGTGAATAATTACACGCTGCAGGAACAGTGCCTGAGGTAAACACACTCCTTCCTCTTACACACACGTTCATGATGTTCAGGGTTCACTCAGGGAAACAGGAAACTCACCAGGCATCAAGCCATCTGGGGGCCAGCACTCTGCGAGGGTTTTCGGGTCCAGCAGGGACTGAAAGACCAGAATCAGAGTTTCAGCTCTGAGAACATAAAAATATTCCTGCTTTCCAGTTTTGATCCTGGATTTAAGCTGAAGGCAGCAACAGTCCTTTGTGGCTGCAGCGCATTCAGTGGAGATGAGGCGACCTGCAGCACCACCTGGTGTCCACCTGCAGAGCTGCTCAGAACTTCAGCTCAGCTGAAACTGAAGCTGTTTCCACACACGACTCAGGTCAGATTATCTTCAGGTTTAAGGTTTGATTTAGAGTCACAGCTGCAGGGAGGAAGGTTCCTGTGAGCTGTGTCAGCTGAAGAACTGAAATAATAAAATCAGAATGAATGAAAATCACACGTGAGCCGCTGCTGGTTTTTGGAAGCCGCCATGTTGCTCTGCTTTGGGCCGTTCAGCCTAATTGTGTTGTTGTACTTCATTACTCCCTGAGGACATGATGTGGTCAGTCTCTCCATGACAACAGCAACAGACTAATACAATAACATGTTACAAATATAAGAAACAGCTCCAATGTAACCTGTAAAACCTTATTTTACCATAGACGACCTCACTGTGTGTTAGATGGCTGGTACAGAGATGTCCACAGGAATGATGTCCTGTGTTGTTCAGTGGTGCATTGTGGGTAATCTCAGTCTCTCCCTGAGCGCGCTCCTGTGATTGGCCAGCACGTCATGGAGTGGGTGGGAGGTATTGTGCAGTATTTTCTTTATCTTGGACAACATCCTTCTCCGACACCACCCTAACGGAGTCCAGCTCCATCACCACAACATTACTGGCCTCGTGATCAGTTTATTGAGTCTGTTAGCATCTGTGACCCTCAACCTGATGTCCCAGCATGCAACAGCACAGAGGACAGAACATCCTGAGTAGGGCTGGGCGATATGGCCTAAAATTCATATCGCGATATAATTTGAAGCACGTGCGGTAACGACATATATCACGATATATTCTTTTCTTCTGTATAACGTATTTTCCACACTTAAAATCCTTTAATTTTCTCAAAAATCGAGAGTGTGCCTTATGTATGAATTCTGGTTGTGCTTACTGACTCTTGAACCGATTTTGGCTGCAGAAATCTGTTAAAAATGTTTTGATGGATTGTCAGAGCATTACGGCTGCCGTAGTGAGGAGCTTCGCGGAGTAATCTGGGTCCAAAACTCCGTCAGCTTCAGGTCCCAAAGTCAAACGAACACTGAGAGTTAAAAACGGTCTAAATTCTTTCATCTTTAATAAAATCATCAGCGTTGCTGCTTTACCAGGTGTAACAATTAAGTTTAACATCCAGGCATCCATGAAAACAGAATTTATTAAATTTAACGGAGTTAGAAGTTAGCAGGAAGTTAGCTCGCTAGTTTCCACCTAAACATTTCATACCATGTTCTGACTGAGAGATTTTTGAAACTAATTCAAACGTACAGCTCTGCTTCACTTCCAACATAAATGAAGACAGAAAACTAAACAGCAGTGACGTTTGCAGGGTTACTGAAGTTGGACTACCTGGTATATAATGTTGTGCTACGTGATTGCTAGCGACACAGCTATGTTAGCATAACATTAGCACAGTGAAGCTGGAGGATGAACGCCAACTTTTTTTCCACTCGATAAAAGTTAACGTGAGGGATTCTGGTGGTCAGGGACAAATGCAATCACATAGCAGGATGCTGTACACGGGCCAAACTTCAGTCAGGAGAACAACTGAGATTATTCATCCACAATACGAGGTTAGTCATTAATATACTGCAACAACATGGGAACAGAGCAGCTGCGAGAGAATTCAACATTAATGAATCAATGTTACGGAAGTGGAGGAAGCGCAGTTTTTGGCTTTCCCCATATTTCAAAAGTGCTTCATCTCTTTGCTGTGACTGTCGCCATAATTTGCAGATGATAATGGTTGTAGCCGCTGCGATGCTTTTGACCAAAACAGGCGCAGCTTGATGACATCATCACCATGTGCTATCGCGATAGAGCGATATAGTCAAAGTCTCTATCGTTGGCCAAATTTATATCGTTTCTAGCGCCTGAGCATTGTCCGACAGATGTTGAAGGACTTCAGAGACTCTGTGCAGCACCTTTACATGTGTGGCTACAGACACACATGCAGAGAGCTTTAGGTGTTCGCTTGCAGTGGGACATTTAACAGACATGTCCGCACCATCAAACAGCTGACAGCTAAACAAAACCAACAGCTGCTCTAAATCTAACGTTACGCCATGTTTAGTGGCCTAAAATTGTCTGTGACACACAGTCACACATCATATGAGAGTTTATTCACTAAGTGTCAGAGTTTCACTAACAGCAGCTCTCAGTACAGATGAACATCATCGGAGGTTTGGAGGTGACTTTGGACTAAGATTGATGACACACGAGAGTTTCTTACTCCTGCTTTATTGCTAAGTGTTGATATTACTCAAATATGTTTAAACACAGTGTGCAGACAAGTGTGGACTTTCCACAAACAGCAGCAGAAGCAGCTGGCTGTGTCCTACAGTGGCCACCGTAGCAGGATTGTCCACGTGAATTAGGAGGAATCATCTGCAATCCACTGACATCCAGTGGTGAGACTTTACACCCTGACTTTGTATCAAACTATCCTGACTGTCAGTGAACACACGGGCCGTGACGGCGTTCAGACTGTCGCTAACAAAAGTACACTTCCTGTCTCTGCTCTGCAGGTGTGACAGTGACCTCACAGGTGAGGCTACAGGTGTGCCACTCACCAGGTACAAGTCCCCTGGCTGAGCAGGGTCGCCTTCCAGAGTCTGCTTCCTCAGGCTCTCCACCAGCAGCGTGACCACAGCATGGTGGCAGGGGACGAGGGGGGAGACAGGGGAGGGTGGCCGGGAGGAGGAGGAGGGGCCAGTTGGAGGGGAGAACAGGGGAGAGAGGGGGGAAGGAGGAGGAGGGAGGGGAGAGTTACGGCCGTCTGTGTGTCCGTCCGTTTGGTCTGTCTCGGGACGAGAGAGGGGAGGAGCTTAGGGCTGAGACTCCTCCTTAAGGCCTCAGGGCCACGTAGCCCCACCCACTCTCACAAGAGCATCATCTGTCAGCCGTTGCTGCAGCAACACACCTGGAAAAGGCACACACACACGCAGGTGAAGTTAAGCTGAAAAACATTGACAACTCTATCAGGAACAAAGCATCAAACAGCTGATGTTGAGAAGAAACAGGAAAAACACAAGAAAAAAAAGACGACCACAAACAGCACTGGGAACCAGTCCCACAGTCAAGTCCCTGTTTGGAATTGTTAGTCTGTGTGTGTATTGATCCCGCTTATCAGTTCTTGTTGCACTACAATCAGCTGATTGCAGTTCACGTGTCAGAGGAGGAAAACAGGTCTGCAGCGTGTAAACGGACGTTCCTTTGACTTTTCTAGTTTAAAGTGGAGACTGCATCACACACCGTGCTAATGCTAAGCTAACGAAGAACCCAGCACAGCAGCCACAGCCTGAGCTGAAGGTAGCAAACAGCCAGGCTCAGCTACCTGCTCGTGTTTCTGCAGTAGAACACAATAGAAACTGAAATATCCTTTATTGTCCCTCGCTGTACAAATAAAGTGTTTATTCTTTGCTTTGTGCTCACACAACCCGTCGAAAGGGGAGGAAGACCTGCTGCTTCCAAATAGAGCACATTTCATAACGTTGTAAATCCAAACCCATCATGGATTCATGATTTGAATCCTGGGTTGTGTGAAATCCCAGAAACACACCTTAGACAAAGTGAATCTGTGAACTAAGGTGTCGGTCTGTTAGGATATGTTGTGCTGATCCTCGGGTTGGGGGATTTGTGTTCATACTGGAGGGCAAAATTAAAACCAAGACGAACAAGAAAAGTTCAAAGCCATCAGGTGCTCAGTTTAGAAAAAAGGGAAAAGAAGAGGAAGAGAAACAAAAGATGCAGGTAAGCAGACGTGTGATTGGTTCAGGATGACCTGCTATGATCCAATCAGAATACTTTATAAGGAAATGATGTGGGTTACAGTTGCTCCAACATGAAATGGTAAAAATAGTAACAGTAACAGACTAAACTCCAAACAATACATTATGTTACAGATTTCTAATATTATATCATTGTCAGTTGTTGATTTGTCCTGTTCTCATTGTATGAGAATATGATGGGTTTGTGGCATACTATGCATACCCTCTCTCTCTCATATGTGTGTGTGTGTGTGTGTGTGTGGTGATGTGTGTGTGAACTGTGCTGTGCTATGACTCTCATCGTGTGTGTGTGTGTGTCGGCGCTGACCACTGCTGACCTGACCGCAACAAAGAGGGGAAATTGCTCCAACATGCACAAATATTTGACCACACAGAGTGCAATTAGTGATGGTGGAGACAATAACCTCAGAATCACAATCAATAAACTCTTTATTTTCACCCCTATAAGAGACACCGAAAAACAAAAAGACGCCATCAAGAAGAAGAAGACCCCCGTGGACAGAGACGAAGCACAAAAGAGACCCACGAAAACATCCACAGAGTGAAACGACTGACAGACTAAAGACTGCCTCAAAGACGCTACGACCAAACAGCCTGAAGAAACCACCATGAACGACTGGAGGAAGCGCATCTGAGACCCGACAAAAACAACAACAAAAAAGACTAAAGTGTGAAAAGGAGCTCACAGAGACTACAAACCACCTGCACCGCCGTCGAGGCAACATAAAACCACCCAGACCCCCCAAAGCCACGCAGGAAAACTGCAGAACAAACACACGAGGCATACCCACATAACAACCAGCAAGAGCCAGGACTGGACATTCAATCGGAAAAGAAATGTCAAAAAGAGCAAAAACAAAAACCTGACAACAAAATTACACAAAAATAACCTCAAAAGGAATACAAGGTCCCAGAGATTAGTCTGGACCGCTCATCGCATGAAATTAGACTTTAATTATTATGTCACACAGTTAACACTCATAATAATAACAATAACAGTTTCACTCCTTCATGTCGTTACTCTCCAGTTGCAGCCTTGCATCAGTGCTGTAACTGAGTACCGTTACTCCGTTACTCGTGGACCCCCCTGGGGCTCCTGTAAACCAGGTCAGGGGCCAAGAACAGGGGACCATCACCCCGTCATCGGGGCGGAACCCCGGGGTCTGGTTAGCGGGGCTCTGCTGGGGGAATATCGGCTCCGGGTACATGCCGATGACCGTGAGCCGAACCGAGCCGAGCCGGGCTGACCGAGGCCGGCGGGCACCCCCGACAGCTTGTTAGCTTGTAGCTAAGCATCCCATTGCTTTTAATGAGGGATGCTTTCCGCCCGTGTACCTGTCGGCCCGGTGGGCGGTGTGTTTGCGGAGGGTTACTCCATGAAAAAAAAACACAAACCCCGGTTTGTGTTATGACGGCGGACCGTTACATCACCAGCAGTTCACCTGAGCCGTTAGCTCGCTGCTATAAATAACAAGTCATCCCGTTATTCCGCTCAAGGTCGGCACAATAAACTCAGCCATCTTGCTCGGAGGATGGGAGCCGCTGAGTGACGGCTCTGCCTCCTCCACCGCCTCCCGGGCTCCGGGGGCCCGTGCCGGGCTGCTAGCAGCGAACAGGGCGGCATTTAGTAGCTAACGGCGGCTAACGGGTTAGCTGCTAGCTGACCCGTTAGCCGCCGTTAATGGTGTCACAAACAACCCACGAACATCAATGATGCTCCCGGTGTCTGTCCCGCCTCCGGCCATCACCCAGGCCAGGGCCGTCCGCACACACCGGACCCCTCACAGGCCCATGCTTAGCAGAACCACCGCAGGCCGTCAACAGCGATCGGAACAGCGGTGCTGACGGCGTGTGGCCGGCCCGAGAGCTCCCGGAGCGGCGAGAGGGGGGAGACACACGGCGGG